ACTTAGTACACAGAATATTAAAGAATTGTGTAATTTGGGAATTTATGTCCAGTATGCATAAAAGATAAACATGGTGTTAATATACCCCTTGTATACCAATATTTTGGTTTGGGTTAATAAATTGTACTTGAAACGAAGCCTGTTTCGTTAATGCACGAGCATTTTAACTCTCTGATAGCCAATCAACATGTTTTATGAAAAGTGAAAATCCCACGCGTGGACTGAAAACAAGCATGTCATTTCATGGCCGTAGGAACCGGAAAGGGGGGGGGGCACAATAATTTTGCCGATATATAGATATATAGATTACTATAGTAAACATATATACTATATGCTTGTGCCCTCTAAATTTAATAAAACCTAGTTTAAAAACAATTACCGGTAAGTCAAAATGGGGCACCTAAAGCCGATCGGGAGTTATAGTTGATGCAATATAAACTGTATTTTTTTTTCACTGTAAAATTGTAATTTGCTATAATTTCAATGTAATTATTAAAGAGAAAAAAAATCAATATTTTTGCATTTTATAATTGCGATGGGAAAAAAATTGATTAAAGCATAATTACATCGTACAAAATTGAAATCAGAGATTTTTTTTTCTGGTAATATTTCAGTCTTATTAATTAGTCATTAAGGGAATTACGTTCTTCAAAAAAACTTAAAGCAACATTGCGTAACTGAAATAATATCTAGGTGCAAACATGTTTTTAATGGATAACCATGATAACGTTTAAAAATATAAATATCAAAGAACAAAATTAATTATCAATACGTTGAATCGGGCTCGATGTTCGACGTAACGATGTGCATATGCTGTGACGTCATATCGAAGGTCGAGAGAATGACTCAATGAGGTTGACATGTATGCAGTGTACATTCAATATTATAGTCTATTAAATGGCGATAAATCGAAATGTTTTATGTGTATATTAAATTGTAACCATGAATTAGCGGAAGGTGTAGAGAAAAATACACGTAAAAATTAAGAGTGATATTGTTTTAATTTAATAGTAAATCCAGAGGAGTTCTGATGACGTTCCCCATAAAAATGAATGATAAAAAACATTCCCCATAATTTTCGAATACATACTGAAACGACAGATAGGTTATTTTTAAGATAAGAAAGGAGAGAAAGCAACAAAACAGGTATTTTCTATAATAATTGTCCATTATTGAAATAAAAACATATTAGGAAAACACTTTCCCCACAACATATTCCAGGCGTCCAATTCCTCACAAGTCGGTTATGATGGGTAAGAGAGAGAGAGAGAGAGAATACGTTTAGACCAGGTAGATCGAAAGCGGTTTTAAAAGAGCTAGGTTCATTTTATGCAGAAAATGGTCCTGTAGATATAACAAGTTATTGACTAATAATCATGTCCCATTTCAAACATCAGATTTAAGTAGAGACTTAGTGCTTTTATTTCCTATATAAAATTTTACTCTGAGAGTTCAAGTATTGGAAAACCGGCTTGGTGAAATTGCAATGTTCTTGAATTATAAAGAAAACAAGTTTATTTTAGTACTCTCAGCCAAGAATCAAAATATGAGAGCACCCCTTGATCCAAAAGAATAAAACATGTTTTGCAACCTTCAGAAACAGTTTTATATATTATAATTGCACATTTTAGATCAGAGGTTGCGCTATATATGAAATATTGAAAAATAGCTGAAAAGTTTGGCCCTTTTTGTAGATTTTTCAGGATATGGGGAAAATGATGCCATTCATAAGGTCATGATACATATATATTATTATAACAGTAACTTGATCCGAAGAGCCGTATCACGTCAAGTTGACAGGCGTGGACCATCAGATCAAACGAGACGCGAAGCGCCGAGTTTGATCTGATGATCCGCGCCTGTCAACGAGACGCGATACGGCTCTTCGGATCAAGTTACTGTTATAATGATAAATTTATTATATTCCCCTTTACAACTAGCAAAATATAATAAAAGGAAACTTTTTGGATCAATTACCTAACTTTTATACAGTAAACAAACCATTTTGTCAAGGAACATTTTGATGCGTGAGAATAAAAACGTCATTTACCAGTGTACTACGTCATCAGTTTCAGAGAGGGGTGATATGGATTCAGAAAACCACAGTGTGGTGATCCGGAATGTCGGATCACACCGTCACGTGATTGCATAAATTCAACAGTAAAACTGAGTGACAGACAGTTGGGTATATAATAAATTGACTGGCCAGAAAGGTACGTCGTTTTTTACAGATACGCAGTCACAAAGGGTTTAATGACATTAAATTGAATTGTTAACTAAAGCTAAATAGTTTCAATTTTCCAGAATTTTACAAAGCCAAAAAAAGGCCCTAAGTTAACCTTATTCTTTCAAACAAAGGCGCAAAACAAAGAAGAGCTTCCCCTCGTAAAATGCATATTGATCCTGATATGAATTATTATTTGCGAAACTTCCGTCACGCACGGACCCACTCACTTACTCCTTCCCCCTACATGTACATACACACACATGTACGTTTTACAACTTCGTTGCAAGGGGAAAAAAGTTTGTTTTGTATTTTTGCAAGGGAAGCAAACCTTAATTTTTATATTTTTCCTGTAGAATACTTTTATAATTCTAAATAAATACAAAGTTGATACTAGGTTTTCAATATTGGGCATGATGAGTTTGATGTCTTCCACGTCTTGAGGTATGTAAACTGCAATTGGATTGATTGATTGTATGCTGTTTTATGTCCCATTCAAGAATTTTTCACTCGTATAGAGACGTCACCATATACCGGTGAAGGGCTTCAAATTTTGACCTTTACTCGGCACTTACGGCCATTGAGCAGTGAGGGATCTTTATCGTGCCAACGCCTGCCGTGACACGGGGCCTCGGTTTTTAAGGTCTCATCCGAAGTACCCGCAACTTTCACTTCAAAGTGCCGAGCGCATGGCGAAGGAACAGTTGCTACCTATTTTTTATCGACTTAGGTCAGTTGCGGCCGAGATTCGAACTCACGACCTCCCGATCACGGAGCGAGCGCTCTACCGACTGAGCTACCGTGAACGGTAACTGCAATTGGAAACACTATTATAGTTTGATTTATTAATCAGTGTAAATGTATTTGAGCAGTGTCTATTATGAATGATTTCTGAGTTATAACTGAATACAAGTGCCATACTTTTCAGCTATTATTGTTTACCTACATCTTTTATATCACATGATACAGTGAAGAAAAAGTAGTCTATCATAGAACGCAAACATCTCTTCAATGAGCATGTTTCATAATTTTGTTTGTCGGATGCTCTCTTAATGTTGATTTTCAAATTTTGTTATTGATTACAGAGAGGAAAACCAAGTATTCATGACCTGTGTATTTATTAATTTTTCTGTGCTTTGATTTAAACAATATGACATAAGATACATGCAAGTGACCCTGAACTGAGACAACACGTAATAGGCGACTTGCAGGTAGGAATTCAAGCTATGTAACTTAATATAGTGATTGAACAACTTCACTGTATGAAGTTAATTCAGATTATGTAACTAAATTTTATGAATGATGTTGACAAAAAAATTCCAACCCGATTGCACACAACTCAACATTTATACTTGGGAAAAGTAAAATACTGTATGTTATATTTTATTATCACCTCGCTAAATTAAATTTATGTGATTCGAATACGAGAAGATAAAACAATAGGTGAATTTGATATATAATATACATAAATCAAAGCAGCATTCGAAAGCGATCGGTGCAAATTACATCACTTCCGTTACGCACACAAGGACAAATTAACCCACCCACACACTCACAAGCGTATATCCCCTCCAACTCCAATGCAGGGGGATAACAAGGTTAACTATATAGGTTGACTAGCTTACCTTCTATTGAAACTTCCTAAAACCAAAACAAAAAATTAAGTACCGGTAAGCTGTATGATTGAAATTCATGTCAGAGCATACTAGAAAACTTAAACGAATATATTTATATATTTTTTTTTTCTTTTAACACAACGATAATTGCAACATGTAAATAAAAGCAAATAAAATCAAAATACACCAGGCTTAAGAAGGGAAACTTTTTCTTTTTTTAAATGGGAATGCAGGCAATTGCTACGCGCAGTTCTGGAGAAATGCAATGTGGCATTGTTGCAGAAACTCTTAATCTAAACAGAAAAAAAATGAATAATATGTATTGCTGATACCTGCAGGATATTTCTCTTGTAGAAACCTTACAGTACCAACGAGCGCTAAAATGTTATTGCGGATTTACCTACCTCGGTTTCTATCCACAGTTTCATATATATGTTCATGTAATACACCAGGTCCTTCGATATGGTCATAATAAGAAAATGCCGTCGGTCTAAAAAAAAATCAAAATTTTCCATTTAGTTGTTTGCTTCACATACTAAATAACCATAAGATGTATTTATTTTCTTACATGGTTTAAAACTGTATGTAGTGCTATGCAGTGATTATTTTATTTAAGAAAAACCTCATTAAAAAAAACATTCAATTGTCAATAGATGTACAAACTGCGTACACTTCTTTCAATTGAAATAGGTTTTTCCACAAATGTTCAACTGGAACCGATTTAAGTTTTATTTTACAAGACCTTTAAACTATTTAAATGAATAGAATCACGATTTCATTTTTTTTATTTGGCCAATACCTTTGCCATATTTATAGAAATTTAAAATTAGGAAATTTTATAATTAAAAAAGTGATATTTACTTTGAGGGTTTAACAAAAAATGCAACTAACAATAAAAGGCAACGTGTTGAATACTTCTAATAAGATAACCGAGTAACATTATCACCAAGGTTTTAAATTATTATACTCATTATTATGTTTTTTTTATTATTTTGTAGTAGTAGTAGTTACTTTAGTCGGAGAATAAGTAGTAATAGTAGTAGTAGTAGTAGTAGAAATAGTAGTAGTAGTAGTAATAGTACTAGTAGTAGTAGTAGGTATTAGTACTAGTTGTAGTAGTAATAGTGGAAGAAGCAGTATTAGTAAAGGTAGTAATAGTATTAGTAATGGTAGTAGTAGTAGTAGTAATAGTAGTAGTAGTAGTAAGATAGGAAGTAGTAGTTGTAGTAATAGTAGTGGTAGAAAAAGAAGTAAAAGTAGTAGTAAGAATTATCTTATTTGAAATTGACGAAATAGATCATAGAGATGCTCATTACCCTTCATCGTTCCGCTTATCTGAAAAAATATGTCGGTTTTGCAAAAACTAAAGATTTCTGTTTTAATACATCTTATGGTAAGGTACGATCAAACAGATTAGTTTATAGGTCACAAGAAAATATATTTTCAATGACTACAGATTTTTGATTAAATTATGTAGAGTCAATCTGACTTAATAAAATGTTAATCTGTGATTGATTCTTAAATTAGAAAATAGTCTTTAGCAAAGCATCAAAGAAACATAATAATTTGTTATGTATGTTGAAAATAGATAGAAAAGGAACAGAATTTTTGCTTTTGTACAAGATTTGTTTACTTCAAGTAGACAAGACAAAAACATTTCCAATGAAAATTGATCCATGTGAATACAATTCAAATCTGTGAATCTATTCAATCAATGAGAAGTTTTTCTGACCAAAACAACCTGAGAAGTAGAACTGAATAGAGTGCTTCTTCTATGCTTTGTTAACTAAAGTTTCGTCATCTTGATTTTCACTTTAAAACTAGACATCATACTGAAATCAGTAAATAAAACATTTAAGTTAAACAAAGAATTTATTTTGTGACTAGGGTCTTAAAAGTCTGAAGAAGTTTTCTTCCAAGGATGAAAAATTATAAGGGCACCTTATCCCATATCTAACACCAGGTGATGGATCTGTTTTCGTGTTAGCACTGCTCTTAATTTGTATAATTGTTTAATTGGAATTTTGAGCGTCACTATCTGCAAATGTGATTCATGATTCAAAATCTCTGTATGATCCTTCTGGTAAGTTACAAATTATGGGAGTCGCCCACGTGACGCAGTGGTTAGAGCGTCTGCTCTAGAGTTGCGAAGTAAGGAGTTGATCCTTACGTCGCGGGTTCGAATCCCACTGTGGGACGTGGAGACCGGTCATTCGGAAGAGACCGTATAAACCGAGGTCCCGTGTCGCAGTAGGTGTTATTACCTAACCTACTATATAAATTGTAATTAGGCATTTTGAACTGTTTCCTGATTCATTTTAACTTTTTTGCACATCATGAAACAGTCAAAACTGTTTACCCGGTCACAGAATGAACTGTTGCATGGCTGAACTAATCCATTATGACGTCACAATTAGTTTCCAGTACTTACATCTATTATAAATTGAAGAATATTTGAAATTATCATTTGAAGAGTAATCCTAATACCCATATAAATATGTATTCAATTTAATATCATTTGAAAGAAGAGGCCAAGAATACCTTTTCTGAGGGAAATTTTGGAAAAATGTAGGCTCCTTTCACTCACTATAGATCTTTGCCTTTTAAAACGTCCGACTCATCGTGTTATATTCAAACCTTCCAGTCATCTTTTGACTTTTACTAAACAATACTTGTATACATCAATATTTATTAGGAAATGATAACACTAAGAAATAATGCAAACTTTTGTGGATGTGTCTATATCATTACTTTAAGATATTATATAGTAGGTTAGGTAATAAAACACTTATTTCATGACAACTCGGGAAACAGTCAAACTGTTGTCCCTCGATAATGGGGAAGACCTGGGAAACTGTTGCCCTCGGCCTGCGGCCTCGGGCAACAGTTTCCCAGGTCTTCCCCATTACCTCGGGACAACAGTTTGACTGTTCCCCTCGTAGTCATGAAATAAGTGTATATTATTACCTAACCTACTATATAAATTGTAATTAGGCATTTTGAACTGTTTCCTGATTCATTTTAACTTTTTTGCACATCATGAAACAGTCAAAACTGTTTACCCGGTCACAGAATGAACTGTTGCATGGCTGAACTGTTCCATTATGACGTCATAGTTAATTTCCCGTACTTTACAGCTATAATATTGAATTATATATAAATTGAAGCATTTTTATTCAATTTGAAATTATCATCTGAAAAGTAAACCTGATAACAATTTAAATATAAAATTTAATATCATTTCAAAGAAGAGGCCATGAACACCTTTTCAGGGGTAGTTTGGGAAAAATGTAGGCCCCTTTCATTCAGTATAGATCTTTGCCATAAACGTGCAATATTCAAATCTTTAAGACATCATTATGTTGTTTACTACATGTTTTTTTCAATTTATTAGTGCATGATAATATCACACCCATTAATTTTTCTGATTTTACACCAATCGGTGTGAGAATTTGATTAATATTCATCTTGTTTAGTTTGGTTTTAAAAAATAATACAAACTTTTGTCAATGTATTTTAAAAGCCATTGATTATTATGTCGATATCATTACATTAAGAAATTATATAGTAGGTTAGGTAATAAAACACTTATTTCATGACAACTCGGGAAACAGTCAAACTGTTGTCCCTCGATAATGGGGAAGACCTGGGAAACTTGCCCTTGGCCTTCGGCCTCGGGCAACAGTTTCCCAGGTCTTCCCCATTACCTCGGGACAACAGTTTGACTGTTCCCCTCGTAGTCATGAAATAAGTGTATACTGGCACGAAAAAGATCCCCCACTGTTCAATGGCCCTATGTGCCGAGTATAGGACAAAATTTGCAGCTCTCCACCGGCAAGTGGCGGCGTCTCCGTATGAGTGAAAAATTCTCGAGAGGGACGTTAAACAACATACAAACAAATTATGGGAAAGCTATTCCAACAGCTACTACAATTCAATGTGATGTTGATTTTCGCTTATGATGTTGCACTTGCACGGAGGTGAAAGTTTGTGATAGCTTTCAACACATTTCATGAAAAAAATACATGTGGAAAGTAAATATTGTGCTTTGTCTTAGGTATGACCATTTACTCCGAGATTTATAACTTTGATTCTCACTATATAGTCTGTGCAGGGGGTAAATTGGAATTTACCTTTATTTTTCAACTCACTGTTTCTTTTATACAGGAAGACAAAAATAGTAGTCCCTAATATCAGAAGTGAAATTACACTGATGATGACGATGATGCTCCAATTCACAGTAGGGCTCTTCTCGTCACTTGTACCATCTACTGTAAAAACATTATTCTATCATTTATTTACGATCATCTATCAAACATAAAGTTACAATCCTTAGATCGTAAATAATTTCTTGTAGATAAACATGACAAATTCGGAATTTTGTGGAAGACTTTTTTTTAATTCTAAACGTTACTTACAAAGAAAGACATCAGTCAACGTAAAAGAATTTGTTTTGAACATGAGAAGTAAATGAAGTTAATATCTGTGCATCGTTTACCAATTCTGCAATTTCATGACTTTAGTATGACTCAAAAATATTGAATTCGAAAAATCTGATGCAATTATTTTTTCTAAAGCACAACGTTACTAGTGCAAGATTCACCAGTTTAAATAAATGTTTTAAATTTAATTATTCAGAAACGAAGGGATTTTTCAATTCTTTTATTTGTTGTTAAAAGACAGATGAAAATAATATTTTCCACGCCTCTGATAAAAAAAAAAAATAAAATTATTAAATGTAATCAATTTCATTGTTAATTTAACAGTTTGATGTTATGTAATGACAAAAAAAAAAAAGAATATTTCTTGTTTAAAGGAATTTAAAAATTTTCAGATCTTGAATTTTTTTTTTTTTAAATTGCAGAAGAGTCTTGACGGAAATCAATTTAAGTTACAAAAGAAAAAGCTTTTCATACCAGTAGTAGTAGTAGTAGCATTAGGATTGGTAAGATTTGGAGCTTGTCCTGGACATTGAGTGATGGTTGAGATCACATAGTTGTCACACTGGTGAACGGCGAAGCTCGTAGCTTTCATGTATCTCGCTGAGAAGACGCCTCCCTGATAATCTGCATCATCTCTAGAAGAAACATTGGCAGCTGAAATACAAAAGAATTTGAATAAATGATCATTACATTGGATGCATAGGAAATTGAACGTAAAAGGTAAAGATTTAATTTTTATAAATCCAATAAAAAAAAACGCATCATAAACAGGGCATAAACAGACTGGCCCCTGGAAACATCAGAGGTGGAACCAGGTGCCAAGGAGGAGTAAACATCCCCTATCAGCCCGCCTTGCGTCCTATGCATTGATCAGGTAGACAGAGTACTATGTAGTCAAATGTAGTATTTAAACAATGACCTATCAAATTGCATAAAACATATCACACAAAACACGACCAAACAATAGATTGTATTTTCAAACAAATTATTATAACGACAGTAGAATTTCCTGAAAGCTGACGGGGTTGTTGAAATCCCTGTAACATCAATTTTTCACAAAGGATTGAAGTTGCACAAAATTAAAAGGAATTTTATTTACACCAAATCTGTCTATTAACGACCCAGTAGTATGATAGAGTGGATCACGACAATGAACATACTTTAGAAGTGCATGTAGTATTCACAAGCATTTTTTTTTTTACCTTGAACGGATTTCTACCTTGAAACTTTATTTAATCTCATCGATTCCCAATTTAATTAGGAATTTTCACAGGTGACACAGGTGACATTAACAATCAAGAATGTTTCAAGGTACGAATGTGTCGCTTGTTATAGCATCATTGAAATATTTTTAACAAAAGGTAAAGATGGTCATTTTTAATTGCATACTAGCATTATAGTTCAAACCAAAAGCATCCACTAAAAGTATGGTCGCAGTAAATTATGGTGAGTAATGCTGATAAATTTCCAAAAGCCATTTGACAAGCCTATGTTCTAATCATATAGTAAAGACTTACCTCTTAAAGATCAAAGAAAACATGCATTTCGGCACTTTCATATATGTTGAAAGTTATGTCAAAGGTCAAGTTTGAAGGTCATGAGTTGGTAATTTTTGGTATCTTACAATTCATTTTTCCAAGTAATGCAAATTCCCTACCTCAAACAGTTCTCAAGATATAAGGTTTGAAAGAAAGACAAATAGACGACTGGCAAAGTGCTCCCAAAGCTCAGCTCTGCAGACGACACAAAAAGCCAAACCGGATTAAATGAAAGCTCTACTTACGAGCTAGGAATGAAAAAAAATACCAAGTATAAAAATATCAATGGAGGAATTGTACAGCAATGATGTTCCATATTCTGTAAAATTCGATCCGTAGGAACCTCCATATGTCAGGACAACGTAATAATTCTGGGCGTCAGAGCGGTCTCCGTTTCCTTGCGTGAAAAAGTTCCATAGCGTCCATGTTATGGCTCTTTCTACATAGCGGCGATTCCGACTATAAGTCGAGTTCGAGTCTCCTTGTGTAAGAGCGTTTATAGCACTGATCAAGTCAGGTGCAGTTGAGTACTGGTTGAGTGGAAAGGCGGTTGCGGCTCCGTCCCCAAAGGTTACTATCCCTATTCTTATGGCATTGTCACCAATAAGCATTTTACTGACAAGAACTTCAAGGGCAGTTTTCATTTCCGTGAACTGAGCAGCGGTGACTGCATCCGTATCATCAATGATGAAGACTATGTCAAGTTTACAGTCTGAAATAGTTAATTATAGTAAACATTAGAATAAAAAAGATTATTGAAACTCATTTCAAAAAATCGACACCAAGATACAAAACTGAGTAATCAAAGATTTTATACAATCATTATGTCAAAATACCGTCATTTTGCAAAATTGTATCTTTTCTTATATAAACTAATATTTTAGAATCAATACAAGTGGTCACTACCATACAAAGAAAATTGGGTATATCTACAAATAACTGTTGCGATTCTAAAAAGGATAAGTGTAAAATATCAACAGAAGACAACCAATCTGTACATTTCATCAATATTTAATATTATCATTATCAATCAGTTACACTGAATCTTGTGAATATTACCTTCAGCAATCCTACTGATAAAGGTTGTTAGATTTTTTTTTGTTCGATGTACATTATTTGGCATATGCATGATATTCTAAAGACTTCTAATTGCTTTGCTTCAAAACAAAGCACAATTTCAAAACACAGCTGGCGCTTTGAATAAAACTGCAGGTCTATTGAAAACTTCAGCCATGCTTGTATTCTAATACGACAAACTTCGTTTGAGAACAAAACAGAGCAACGACCGTGATAGATAAAATGTATACACACATGCTTATATAATGAAAGAAACATGCAGCCTTTTGGACAATTGTAATATCTGAATAAGGTTAAGTAATCTGAAATAAAGGACAACTAAGTACCTTGTGTGTATTGTGGAACCTGACAACAGGTAGTGAGTTTTCCTTTCACTGTATTTTTAATGTTGATCATGTCGTTATAAGTAGCTGAGGTTGTATATTTAGAGTGGTCATTGCAGGAACCAACAGTCTCCTTATAAATTGCTGCGTAACTCGTTCCAAGATCTAAAAAGTTTTGAAAGAAAATATTATTATAGATCACCCGATCTGCAATTTAAGCATACAAAATGCAAGTTCCGTATCAAGTTTATTTAATATAGACAAAATGTTTACTTACGAACGCCAAAAATTATATTGTTCCCACTTCTTCTGATGACCCTTGCTGTTGTGACTGGGTCGCTGGAAAAAGGTCCGACGATAAAGACATAATAGTTATTAGCGTCTGAACGATCTCCGCCAGCAGCCGTGAACACATAGTCACGGGCATGAATTAATCCTTTGTCTACATAATGATAACTGCTAGACGTCTCTGAAATTCCTTCAATTGCACCTTTGACGGCCTCGGAACTCGTATAAGAAGTGAGCCCAAACTCGGTTCTTGCTCCATTATCAAATATCACAAAACCTACCCTTACGCCATCTGAAGAAATAGGTAAATCCTCCACTAACTCTGCCACAAATCTCTTTATGAAACGCAGGTTGTAATTTTCCACTATGAAAACGATGTCGAGCTTGCAAGCTAAAAAAAAAAAGACCCAATAATTCCAAACAATCTCTGTTAAGTAGACTCAAAACCCAAGATCAAATTTTATAGATCCTCAGTACTTGCATTTTGATCCTGCTAATTATACAAGAATATATCAAAGGTACTCTAATTTAAATAATGAAATAATATTGCCACTTGTGTATCAGAGAAAAGATATATCTCCACTTGGGATTGAACCCGGGATCTCTGGCATGCCAGTCCAGTGCTCTATCGTTTGAGCTAAACAGTTAACCCGTTAACCCATGTTAGTAGGATGCCGTACACTACCACATCCCCCCTCCAGAGAATGAGATATCCTCATCTCTTTGGAGTGCCGACGTCTTTGGGGCGAAGTTCCGGGGGCAATCACTTTTACCCGCAAGAGAATACTTGGGTCCCAACGCGGGCGCCAAATGTAACAGAGAGAAGTTTTGTCTCCGCTTGGGATTGAACCCGGGGTCTCTGGCATGCCAGTCCAGTGCTCTACCGATTGGGTTAACCCACTAGCCAATGCTAGTAGGATGTCGTGTATTTTACATCCACACTTGAATATTTTGCTATGGGAGGTACATTATGGCACCTTGATACTAGGCCATACCTACAGACGTAGGACCAGGAAAACCAGATGTTGGACAAACGGCAATTTTCGTTAGAACGGCGTTGAACTGTGTTGCTAGGTCTGCTGAAGAGGTCGCTTGAAAGTATCTAGCAGTACTCCCAGCGGCCGCTTTCAGATCATTGGCAAGAGACGTCGATGGAGCAATACCTAAGTTAGAATTACAACAATTAGTAGCACTCTATGTACGGATACTTTATTGTAAGGTTCTTCCAAAGATTTTTCAATGGTAAATGCATAGGACTGTGAAGGCACAGGATATGTAGGACTTCTAATCCATAGACAATATTAAAAAAACACACGCTTCCATAAACTTTTAACAATATTTTTTTTTAAATCTCCCCCAGTAAAAGCAGTTGATGAGGAAAGTGGCCCTATCTGTAAACCTAAAGATACGGACTATACTTTATAAGAATTAGGTTCATCACTTTATAATAAGGCTATCGAAACAACAAATTAAACGTTAATGGGTTGTTTCTAAAACATCAGTCAGAAAAGTCAATGAATTGAGTCTCTTTCTTGAGCTACAGAATAAACCACAAAACAAATGTACTATTTGAAGAGAAGTCTGACCACAGTGATTATGCTAGAACAAATTTGAGTAAAGAACCATCGTTTTGAGAAAACGATGCATTTTGAACCTTTTATTTGTTGTTTTTTCCCCTCACTTTTCATTCTTCGAGGAAATTACTTTGGACAGTATCTGGTATGATGGACTGAATATTTCAATTTATCTTTAAAAGAAATATTACAGATCAAACACAATACATTTGAACTTCGGCATCTATAACATCATTCCTTATATCTCGTAGAATCACGTTTGTTTTTATCTAAACAGCATTTGGGGGGGGGGGGGGATGGGGTTACTTGAATTTTCAATACGATTTGTTGAACCTACTCAAATACTTGAGAGTTAGAATATTGTTTACATTTTTTGACACGGTATTTCAATGTTTCAGAAATTTTGCCAAGGAAATCAAAGTGTATCAAAGAGGCAAACTAAATCAAAGTATCACTGTGTACTTTAGAAAACTACTGTAGATTCACTATTTTACGCGAGTATTTAAAATCGCAAAATGACTCATCATATATGTCTTATCAGGAAACATTAATCTGGGCTATTGAACAAGAGATTTAAAATGTATTTCAGTACTTGAAGAATAAAAACGACTTATTTTATAAGGTGTGTGTTGTTTCTCGCGAAATAACGCGATAATAAATCCGTCGCGTACATTCAGGAATTTAAAGTATTAGTAAAGTTTTGTAAAATTTTGTTAGGATGTAAACGAAAGGGTTTTACAATTGATCTGTGACAAAACTTGTACATGTATTCATGTAAATGTTTTCTTTAATTATTTTATATTCTTTCTGAAATTTGCACGCGTTAAATTAAGGAATAACTGTCTTATTTTTTGGATTCATGATGTGATCAATCGAGTGGCTTGCGTGATAATTTGCATAAACGCCGAAGGCGTTTATGCATAAAATTATCACGCAAGCCAATCGATTGATCATCGTCATGAATCCAAAAAATCTGACAGTTAATCCTTATATTTACATGCTCCTGATTCTGCAAATTCCAGTGCTAATAGCCCCGCTTCTGTCTCTATTTGTCACGCCCCGCACGTGATTTTTTTTAAACGCGCCTATCGATGAACCAGTAGATTTATGTAGAAATAAAGTATTTTTACAATTTGTAATTTTATCTCGGACAAAGACATTGAAAATGTAAATATTAAGAATATAAATGTTATTTTGTATTTACAATTAACAGCGTTAATGTCTACATATTTAACATAATCAAATGTGCAGCAAGCAAAGAACACATTTCAGCAAGTATTTTTTGATATTTCTATTGATGCAAAGGTTTAAACACATAGACGGCCTTACGTTGATTATAAGAAGCTAATTTCAAGTTTGGAATTGAGTTCAATATTGAATTTGATTTCCGAAGTATTTGCTATAATACATTAAATTTAATTTATATTTTAAGTATATGTCTTCGATTTTTTTAAGGAACACACATATTAGCCCTCTTTTCACCTGAAATGACATACTGCTGCAATTTGATATTTTGAACCTTGGGATAAAGAGTTATTAAAGTTTTAATTTACATAATTTCTTATCATCTGAGTAAAACCGTCATTGTTTTCAAGACAGATACAGAGGGTGATGCTAGACATATATATAACTACATGTTTTTCAATGCTTTGTAGAAATATTTGACGTGCATTTTAAGAAAGATATTAAAAAGATGAAGGAATACGGTAATACCCAGATATTTGGATCGATCGCTCACCAGCAATTTCAGTCAATCTGATTAAAATCAGATCCTCGATGCTCCTTTTTTAACGATATGACGCTTACGAGGCGTAAGCGACATATCGTTAAAAAAGGAGCATCGAGGATCTGATTTTAATCAGATTGTAAGCGACATATCGTTAAAAAAGGAGCATCGAGGATCTGATTTTAATCAGATTGTAAGCGACATATCGTTAAAAAAGGAGCATCGAGGATCTGATTTTAATCAGATTGCAATTTCAGTATCAGGGATTTTTTACTTATCCCGTAGAAACTGTGCATAATGTTCTTGATACTGTTAAATAAGGAAGTAAAATTCCAAGTTCCCAGTGACCTCCTGAGTTTTGAAACAATAAAGGACAAGGTATTGTAACGGCCGAATCTGGCCCCTTATTTGATGTAAAAATCGGAACACAGTTAAAACTGTGATAGTTTGTTGTTAAGAACTTAAAATGATGCTTGTTTTAAAACCAGTACTAATTTTGATTCAGAGCTTACATGGAGGCCACAAGAGGGTGCAGAAGTAAGACATTTTCCCGAAATTTCCTCAATTCTGGTGGAATTTCTTCAAATTTAAGATACTTTTCACTTCGGGAAACATAGAGCACAAACTTGCCTATCTGAGATTTTTATACACAAGATGCATCTGATACTTGTGTATGAAATATATAAATTTGGTAGATAGGCAAGCTTGTGCTCTATGTTTTCTAAAACAAAATGTGCTGTATAATCGATGAAAATTTGCATAAAAATGAGAAAATTCGGAAATTGACATATTTTCTGACCTTCCTGTGACCTCTGTGTATCCCATAACTTAGAACCAATACTCATTTTGTGGTAGGGGTGACAACAATTTTTCATTGATAAACTGTTGCATCATTCTAAAAGAAACCCCAAACCAGGGGCCAAAAAGAGGTCTTAGCCTATCTTGTCCTTTCTATTTCTTACCGATTCCGAAAACTTGATTTTTGGCAACTTGTCGTATATTGCCTCCGATATCTGCACCGACGTAGTTAGGAGTTGATTTACCAACAATAACAAAGTATTTATATGCTTGATATCTGTTCCCATTTGACATTTTCACAAAATCATAAAATGCAACACGTAATGCCTCGGCGAGGTTAATTCTTGAAGAAGCATTTGGTATCGATAATGACGTAATAGCAGTGTCCAGTAATGCCGCCGTAGTAAAGGCGTTAAACTTGATATTCTGGTCCACAGCGTTGTCATAAGATATCACCCCCACTTGTATATTACTGGTTGAAATTTGCATAGTCCTCACCAAATCGCCAATAACCGATACTAATTCATAGTAAATAGAAGACGTGTATGAGGAAGCCTCTATAATGAAAAGAATGTCAATTTTGCAGGTTGAAACTGAAATAAAAAAAAAACAGGAATCTAAATTCGTGTTAGAAAGCAATATTATAATGATATCATTCAATTTAAGTGAGCATAAAAAGATAAATTTTTTATCCTGACCTGAACAGACAAGTGGGTATCCCGTCCAGAACTTTCCGTAACATGTACGTTGTGTGTTCCCTGCAACCTGCTTGTATCCTGAGTTACAAGCGTAAGTGCTGACTCCATTACAGCCTGTAGAACTAGTGGGAACGTTCACGTTACTGTTTAATTCGTGTGTGCATGTAACATCTAGAGAAAAAAGAATATCAATTGAAACTTCAATACCTTACATTTTTAAAAATTTTAATGAATAAAAGGTCAGTATTCACATTAAATAGTAAAACAATAGCACATTAAAATATGTCTATAACCTCCAAAAGATAGGTAACGATGCCCGTGACTTGCTTGATCTTATTTACATGTAGTACCAAGTATTTCATTATGTGGCTAGTGATTTATCTGAGGTTCACAAGTTTTCGTATGAAAAAAGTATCATAAGTTGGACTGCATAGAAGCATAGCAGTTATGGAAAAAAGGAAGATTATCAATTCAATCGATAAAAATTTCCAATTGTTAATTAAAAATGTAAATATTAGCAAATAATTTCTAGTTTCTGGGTCTATACGGATAATTCGATTGGAGCACGTGATAAAATTGGTAAAAATATAAATGATTTCGGCATTATAACAATTACGCTGTATCCAATCTTCTTTACACCATGCAGAGAGACTCCAGAAACAAGACAACCTTTCCTTATAATCTAACCATCAACTTATATCTAGTAAATAAAAAATAATCTAGCTTTACATGTAATATTTAGTGCAATTTCCAATACTGCTATACAGAGCTGTTCTAAATAGTCTATAAAATGGTCATACAACCCATTTTTAGACTATTAAAACTTCTGGGGGAGTCCATAAAAATAAAGGAAATCGCATAAATTCATGTTGATCATATGGGTATTATTTTTTCTTTTTCTTAAAATGTACCCTCCGTAATAGACTCTCAAAATTCTACATAAACTTTTCAAACTTGCAAACTTACCACATTATGGGTATTATTTTTTCTTTTTCTTAAAATGTACCCTCCGTAATAGACTCTCAAAATTCTACATAAACTTTTCAAACTTGCAAACTTACCACATTATTAAATGTATTTACAAATCAAATAAGTCCCTGATGATTTTTTGAAGGAGTTTTAGGACAAGGTCACATCAAAGTCATTAGAGTGTCTGGGCCAAAGTCTGCATTGCCTGGAGATGTTTCAGTTTCCATATTCATTTTGCTAACCATTGTCATACCGTTCCTTGGAAAAATATTTTAATTAAAAAAAATCGTTTATATCATTTTGTTAAACTTTGACTCCCTCTGATCACCTCTATCCCACCCCTCCCCTTTCCTCCTACTGCTGACCATAATCATGACCCCAATGTTCTCAAAAAGAGAAGCTTTATTGTGCCCCCTTTCTCTGAGTCCATGATTTGAAGGAAAAAAAACTGCATTCTGGTTGCATATATCACTAAATATGACTATGCTGTTCTTGAAAACGTTTTGAAAAAATATTTTATCAGATATTCTCAAGCGAAATAAAGAATCCCTTTGTGGTCAGGAGTTAGATATGTTTCAGATAAAGAATCTACAATGCATGAGGTTGATTAAATGTAATATAATACTGATCGTGGTCTTGTGGTTCCTGAGAGAAAAAGATCGAGTTTATACAGATTTTTTCCCGATTTATTACATTTTCAACAGTGAAATATTGTGATTTATTTATTGAATAAAAGTGATATCTGTCACAGTGTAAAAGGATACCAAAAGTGATATTCTGTCACAGTGTGAAAGGATATCAAAGTAAGTAAAAATAATTTCTGGCCTGTTATAAGATAGAGACAGTAACTAAAACATCTTCATAGAGACTAAAATTGCCAATTTCTTCACAAATATGTTGCTAAAATCTATGTTGCATTTTTTTTTTAAATCTAGCATTGCTACATGTAAGCTATGACGTCTCAACCGCTCAACTATGACATCTCAGCCTTTGGCACTGTGTTAAGGAAAGACAGAGGCAGGGGAAAATCAAAGAAAATGTTATGAAAAGAAAATTCAATGCTTTGTAGTTGGATATGGAATTTATTTCACTCGTGAGACAGGATTTTTTTTATATTTTCACTCGTGCTTCGCACTCGTGAAAATATGAAAAAATCCTGTCCCACTCGTGAAATAAAATCCACATCCAATTATAAAACATTGAATTCTCTCTCTCTCTCTCTCTCTCTCTCTCTCTCTCTCTATATATATATATATATATATATATTTCCATGTTAAACTTTTATCCCCTATCTCATCAGGAATATCCTCTTGATATGCCATTGGGTTCGTTTGTGTTTAGCCAAATTCATATTACAATAAAGAATCCTAAAGATACTTATTCATAATAAAAATTCTAACTGCTATAAGCTGGTAAACCGAAGACGTGCCTTTCTTTTGCTTCTGTACGTACCGTTAGGAAACCTCCATTGACCTGAAGAACCCCATCCAGTTTTGATCAAAATGTACTTGACATCGTGTCTCGGGGAATGTGTACAACTCAATTTAACGCTACTGCCGACTGATGTACCAATTCCCATTTGGATTGTAGTCCCAGACCACGAAATCCAGAAATTGTCGTACCAAGATTGGCTCAAAAAGACTTGATAATGTTCATCACACTTAGATCCTCCATTGATCCTGAGTTCCGACTTAGTATTGCTCCATCCAGCAATGACGAATTCATAGGCTGAAGTAAGAGAAGAGCTATCCTGAGTACTCAGCAAAATGTGAAGGTCATTGTTAGCCTTTGCTCTGAAAGTAAAGGATGTCCTCCCCAAGGCAAGGAAACAACTTGTTGATAGTTTGTGGTAGGTATAGTCATTAGGGGTTGATCTGCTGATTTCAGAGTATGCTGGTGAAAATCAAATATATTACACATTTAGTGAACAGATTCCAGAACTTGAAACGATGAATTACAATTCTCTGGTGAATTCTTTTAGTAGTTATAAAGCCTTTGAAAATGTATGAATGAAAAACAAATAAAACAAAAGATTAAAAAAATCTTTGCCGGACAAAAAAACGTGAAAATATATGTTTCTCCGTTACGAAAACTGACGCAGTCAAAGAGGGCCCCGCTTAGGGCTGTCATTTGAAAATGACAACTGTCTTACCACTTAAAAATGAACAGAGTAAAGTGCGTTGAATAATGTCGTGATCAATAAGAACTGCATGGTCTGTGGATCAAGATTGGAAAAGAGTTATATTTTCTGATGAAAATCAAGTCACGTTAGGGAGAGACCGTAAAGTTTATGTCTGGAGAAAGGCATATGAAAAATGGAGACCGGGGTGCCTCGGTTAACGTTCAGTCAGTAATGGTGGATCTGTTTCGTTTTGGAGCTGTATCTGTTATTCAGGAGTGGGCATACTTACACTAATAAATCGGAATTAAACACAGTACATTACATTCTAGACGATAATCTGTGGCAAATTGTTGCCAAATACTTTAGTAACAACCCCTGGACGTTTCAGGACGATAACTGTCCAGCCCACATGTCAGCTAGGGCTAGAGCATGGAAATAAAAAATAATATCCCTTGCTTAGACTGGCCATCTCAATCACAAGACCTAAACCTCATAGAAAATGTATCGAGATCAATTAAAATTAAACTTGCAAAGGAGAAGCATAACATCAGAACAAAACAAGACCTTGTTGATTGTGAACGGAAGATCTGACCTCCCTCCTCCAGGGTATATTGAAACCTTACTTAACAGACAAATTTGCTGTAATTAGAGCTAAAGGTCATACCACCAAATACAAAGAAATTAAAAAAGTCTATAGTCAACTATATTAAGGTTAGTAGATTTTTTGTAACATTGGACTGTAGTGCTGATTACAATTGACGTCATGAAAACGTAAAACACTATTGGCATGACAAAGTATTTCTTTTAAACAAATAAGCTGGGGAGTGCCTATGGACATATTAAATGTACATGTACTTACAATAGCAGCCATATTTTAGGCAGCTAATTGATTGTGAGGGTGGGGTTTCACATCCTCCACCTGGTCTGACACAAGATCTGTATCTAACGATGTTCTGAGTCGTGCAATCACTGGGGCATGACGACCACGCCCCCCAGTTTCCCCAAATTGCTGAAAGTATATAACGTCTGATTTATGCGAGAAAAAAAGTGAAATTCAATTGATCTATTGGCACCGAAAAATATGGTATTAAATTTAATTTCAAAATATGTCGATTCCAATAACAGCTATAATAGGGTACCAATGAATGAAAACAGCGTATAGATTTAGAATGAAATATATGGAGATAACGAACAGTATTCAAGCTCAAAGTCCATTAGACAATACAAAATAGGAGCAGAGCAAACACGGACCTCCAAACATCAGAGGTGGGATCAGGTGCCATAGAGGAGTGAGCATCCCCTGCCGACCGGTCACACCCGCCGTGTGCTCCTTGTCATGATTGGGAAATAACGGAAAAATCCGTCGACAATTCAGTGTGTAAATAATGGCCTAACAATTAGTATGAAAAAGGACTTGTTAAAGAATTATGAATCAAGGTATTAATTGCTAATTCAAAAATCCTTAAAAGGATAATTATTTGTGTGGAATAAACATGTATTTCATTAAAAGAATTGAATTTTTTTCAGATTTTATATTCAACACTAATGGGGGGGGGGGGGGATAAGCATTGAATACTTTGATTGGCCATACTCAGCAATGTATATTACAAATAAAATTGGACAATGCAATCTCGCCTAATGATACAATTTTTGGTGAAATCACTTTGTAACGACTTATTCCTTGAACTCATCTACACATTTATTCGTATATAATTATCAAAAAATTACAAAATAAACCTATTTTTCTACATTGCGTTGGGTGCGATTGGATCCCCTTTGAAAAAATCAAAGTACTGATACAGTACTGAAAGACGGGGTCAAATAATAAACTTCATAATTTTATAAATTTCATTACTGCACGGGGAAATTTTCTTTTGGCTTTTTATAGCAACTTTTAATTTTTTTTATATACATTTGATAATAACATAGATGAAAAGACACTGTGAAAAATATATTTTTACGTTCTTCATTTACTCTGTAATAGATAAATCAAAAATTTCACTCGCCAAAGAACCTTAAGTTTTGAATTGTCCGAATTTCGTCTGATCCGAATTAATATGACATTTCCGGAAGTAAACAATTGATGACGCGACCACAGTCTAATATTACGCAGGCGAGTACTTTGTATACTAGTGTAGTTCTATATAATGTTTTCCACGTGTAAAATTTTCTAAATGCTTCTTTAATTTGAGGAGGAAAATCTTAGGTATCACTCTCTTTAGTTTGATCCAGCGTGTTTGTATTTTGATCAAAACAATTTCTGCACTCTTTCATTTAGCGTAGATTCAATTCATATGTTCTACACGGGCCTTCCGTTTTGAGGCCTCAACTGACAGTAAAAATAATAGATGGGGTCACGCAACCCCGTCTAAAACGAAAATATCATTTTTAAAACATGTCAAATTCATTATAAATCTGTTTAAAGTAATGTTGTCAGATTTGTATTTATTCATAATATTCGAAAAAAATTGATTTCGAGAATGGACTGGATCTCACCAAAACAGAGTACCCAGATTCTACTAGCACCCCTTTTTCCAGATTCCTGGTGACGGCCCTGACATGATAAGTTCCTAGTAAAGGAAAACAATTACGCTTACATCTGCAGCTGTAGGACCACACCAATTCTTTACTGCATCCTGAACACGGATCTCCACCAAGCCAGGAATTTGTGGCCCATATAGTACAGGTACTACCGATACGATATCCACACTGAGAATCCATTCTGGAATGGACATTATTACTACCACTGCACCAACTCCCGTAACATCGCCAAGTCGCCGACGTGATGTCGAGGTAGTTCCCTGCTGAGCATGATATGCTATATGAACTCCCCTCCTGTATTGTAATACAGTCTGCAAAATATTTCTATTCAAGACAGAAATTCAACGTTTTGAAAACATCCTTAAAGTTTGTGGGCGGCATTTTCAGATTATCTTTCTTAATATAAAAAATGTAATGCGTCAACCAGTTTAAACATTCTTACCTTATATAATGAAATTGATACACACCACCTTTTTCGAGCAGTATTTTTTCTTGCAAAAGAGAAAATCCTATCTTTGCAGACATAAAAAGATATCTTAAAAAGGGATTCCATGAAAACTGCTACCACTGCACTTTTTAATAAAAAGGCTTTATGCTTGAAATACATTGATGTATATTTTATCCCTTCTCCAAGGATTAAAACTGTGTCGAGTTTGACACACTCAGATGGAAATTAAAGGATATATAATTGAAAACATTATATGCATGGAATTTCCGAATGTTAATAAATAACAATTAATACTTCGATCATTGTCTCAACATTTTTTTCCTGGAGAAATATGGCAGGTATTCTAAGTTGAAAACTCAATTTGTACACTTTTATATGATACATTTTTCTTAAAATAAAATAAAACATTTTTAATAAATATTTAGAGCTTCCTTTAGACTCGCTCTTTTGAAGCAACCTTTATATTATTATATGGGTAAAAAAAACAAGAGGCCCAGGGCCTACATTGCTCACCTGAGCACTATGGCTAGGAAAAAGCAGAAATCACTTCAGTCTTGAAAGGTTGAAAAGTTTAAAAATAAAAGTGGCTCGGGGTGGGGGTGGGGGGGTTGATTTGAACTAACTTGACTCTATACTTCATAGAGATGCTTTTGAATTAATATGACAAATAATGGCTTTGCTGTTCTTAAGAAGAAAATTTTTATTGATATATATTTGTATAACTATGATCCCTTGTTATGGCCCCTCTATTCTCCTGGGGGGTCATGAATTGAACAAATTTGAATATACATTACCTGTGGATGCTTCCATTTAAATATGACCAATCATGGCTTTGATATTCTTGAGAAGAAGATTTTTAAAGATTTTTCATATGGTATTCCTATGTAAAATTTGATCAACTATTATGGCCCCATCCTACCCCCGGGGGTCATGATTTGAACAAACTTGAATCAACGCAATCTAAAAATGCTTCCATATAAATATGACCAATCCTGGCTTTGCTATTCTTGAGAAGAAGATTTTTAAAGATTTTTCCTATATATTCTTATGTAAATTTTTGTTTGCCCATTGTGGCACCAACCTACCCCAGGGGGTCATGATTTGAACAAACTTGAATCTACACTTCCTGAGGATGCTTCCATATAATTATGAGTAATCATTGCTTTGCTGTTATTGAGAAGAAGATTTTTAAAGATTTTTACTATATATTCCTTTGTAAACCTTTGATCGCCCATTGTAGCCCCACCCGATCCCCGGGGGTCATGATTTGAACAAACTTGAATCTACACTACCTGAAGATGCTTCTACATAAGTTTCATATTTTCAAGCACAGTGGTTCTTGAGAAGAAGATTTTAATGATGCCATTAATTTCTCACGAATTCATGATTATCCCCCCTTGGAAGAAGGCGTGGTCCTTCATTTGAACAAACTTGAATCCCCTTTACCCAAGGATACTTTGTGGCAAGTTTGGTTGAAATCGGTCCAGTGGTTCTGGAGAAGTCGAAAATGTGAAAAGTTTACAGACGGACAAGCAGACTGACGGACTATAGACAAAATGTGATGAAAAACTCACTTGAGCCTTCGGCTCAGGTGAACTAAAAACACTAAGTCACATTGTTCTGAGAATCAGCTGCCGAAAACACTATTTCAATTTTACTTTCGATTTCCATTACTGGAACTCTTCAAATTACATGCGTGTTTGGTCGTCTGACTGGGACAACCATGACGTAGCGGAGAATACAAAACATGCCGATCTCAATCCGATTTTGAATGTTACATGTAAATGTATGTGTCATTCCCATTAAAGAATAGAAGAACTAGCAGACATATGTGAGAGTGCGCAGCCCTGAATTTATTATCCATTGATAAAATTACGACGTTTTCGAGGCATGTACATTGTATTTGGGGATGGACAGTCAGCACTTGTCAACAACAAAAGGGTCTCATTTGCATGCATGTTAGGCGTTTTTTTTTTCATCGACATTCAATATATTGTTTACATATGCATGTTGTTACGATTGTCCCACAAATCCCACGAGATTTTTACATTTTCCGACTTTTTCACAAAAGACGCATTAAGAACTGTAACTCTTCCATGGTGGAAATAGGAAGTATTAAAACTAGAAAAGAAAGTCCCTGGCTCTAAGTAAATGTACCGGAATTTCATGCATACTTTAACAAATCATTATATAGTTGTAACACAACGAGCGTACAAATTATAATTTTAATTGATATATTAATTTTGTACATTGCGTTTATTAATATTTTAAATATTATGTTTTGAATTATAATTGATACTATCAGTGTGTAGAGAGACGGACAATAACCTCTTAATTATGAACTTGTTTACAAACTCTGGGAGATTGGATACAATAAGTGAGCGTCTTCATTTGACGGACAATTAGTTTTTACGATGTGTTGTTCTCTAACATTGACACTTACAATCAGACTTTGTGCAAAGCTGCAACTATCTAATTAACTGAAGAATTTGCAAGATACACAATGTTAATGTAAACAGAGGACATTGACGTATCCTATAAGGAGATGAGAGACAGAGCTTCAGTGAGGGGCGGACTATATTAATATTAATTATGTGACAATGTAACTTACGATTGTTGTTACCAAATACGTGATCCCTATGATGCAGCTTCTTGTACAAAAGATGTGCGCACTCTGTATCAATAGCTTTTAACATCTTAGATCTAAGACTGACTACGAGAGCTTTTTACCATCTTAGCTCCTGGACTGAATATGTGAGCTTTTCACCATCTTGGCTCTGAGACCTGCAGCCATTGAACTTTTTTATGTACCATTGTTTTTGCCTTTGCTGTGACTTTATAATAAAACTATAAACTTACAAAAGTCTTCTTAATCCAAACAC